TCTGAAAAACGTAACACTTTAGGTTATACCGTTATCTTCCTGAACTCCATGGTTTCATGATACTGAATAAGAACAAACAAATGCAAATCTATGAAATCCCAAAACACAAAAGTAGTACATGATAAAAGCCATGAATAAACAATAGTTAATTCTGTCTGAGAATAAAAGGAATACAGGACACTCTAGCTTTACAGCCTTCTTCAGGTGCATCCAGTTTTGTAGGCCTATCTTGAACTGAATGCCACATTTATCTGCCAGACAGATCAAAAAACACTTTGCACATTCTCCCTTTAGATGGTTATTATCTAGTTCTGTTAGGATTTCAAAACTGTGCATGAAAGTAGATTAAAATGAGGTTTCTGCCAATTTAAAAGTATATTTATTATCTTAATTACAAGTTTAATTAAAAGAATTAAAAGTGATACTGAGATGATAGATACACCCAGTGTTAAGCTGAACAACCTAAAAACATGGCTCTCTTTGAATAGATATCAGTCAAGAAAAGGCCTTTCAAGAAATCTGTAGACGCAACTGTATATGGCATCACCCTAATGGCTTAAAAGAAAACATCTAGCTCTTTTCTCCAAATTGTTGTTACACACAATTCACATTTACTCCCACCTTCTCTTTATGACAAAGTATCACTTCTAAACTGGTTTCAGGAGACCGTAAGTAACAGCTGTGGGGCTCCGCATAAATATGTCTTTTTTAAAGTAAACCAAAGATTTCAGACAGCACTTAGAGATCAAGCCCACATGTGCCAGCTCTCCAGTGTTCAAACACTAAGGTTTTTATCTGGAAAACTCATCTTTTGAGTATTTTTTATAGAACATTTCCAGAACATTACGACTATTTCCTTTTAAAAGGAAAGCTGCCCGGCTGCCATAATTTATGGTGCCGGCGTATTGCATAGAATACCTCTTATTAATACTTTATTTTAATAAGAATACTTTTAATATGATTACTTGCCAGTTTATGAGAAAGCATGCCTATCAAGAAAAGCCTGTTTTATACTCTGTATAAAAAGACTTGCTTGGGATTAGATGGAATTCGATTCAAGAATGCTGACCACACCCAATGAAGTATAAATGCTGTATGGTACTGTACCAAACACATCCTTGTTTGGGATCGCATCTTTGCCTATTGTAGCAGATCCTCATTGGATCTGATATACCAGTGCTCCTGGGCAGGCTGTCACTTCCTTTAGCTAAGCAGATCAATGCTGAATCGGGATCTGAAATTGCTCTCCATCTGGATTTGAAATTGTTCTCCTGGTTTATCACTCAGTAGGACATGGATTGTCAAAAGTCTCGGGGTCCCCTTCCGGAGGAGGCGTGAAATGAGAAACAGAATGTTTCGCTACCGCATTCAGTTGGAGCAGAACCCGGGATTCTGGGAGAATTCTGTGACTAAACTGAGCCGGAATCTGGGACCCTTGGCTCCGGAAGGGCTGCAGTGCCGGGTGAAGTCCGGAAGACTGGAGTCAGGGCAGACTGGGAACGGAATGCTGCAGGGCAGGGTGAGGTGCTGGACGACGGGAACAGGAGTCGGAGCAGATTGGAAGGGGGTGTTGTGGAGCAGGGTCTCGGAGTCCTGAACTGAAGTCAGGGCAGACTGCTTCAGCGGCGAAATGCGAGAATGGTCAGCATCTGGACTGGAGATCTCAACCCTTGCCAATGGGACAGCTTCAGCCTCGGAGCAAACCCTGTGCGGAACTCCCCGGAATAAAGGAGGACGCTCGTGTAGCTCGGTCTGTCTTTGGAAAGGGGTGAAATGAACAATGAGCTGTTGAAGCGGCACCTTGGCATTACCCAGAGAAGAGAAATTAAATAATGAACTGGATAATTGTTAATGCAGGTGGATCACCAGAAGCAGATCCAGTTTGTGCAACCAGTTTGTGTCCCTTGGCTTGCGGTTGTCCTGGAAAACCATCGTATTCTTACAAGGGCTCATGGTTTCCTAGGGCAACTGCTAGCCGAGAGACACCGTAGGAGCGTGGTCAGAACAGTGATACAGAAAAACGTGTTCTGCAGAGGTCAGTCTGGAACAGAAAACGGAAAAATAAGACACGGCGGTCCGGGAGATGCCGGTGTGATCATCAGAGTCGTTGCACTTCCTTTTAACTGTTTTGCAGTTGGAATAAGAATGTAAGGAAACATCTTTCCTGATTTCCTGATGACTTTAGAAGATGAAGCCAAAGGTCAAAATGATCCATTCATGTACCATGACATACATCGGGTATATTTTGTGACTGTGCATTATGAATCCCCCCTTGCTTGTTATCTTTCAAGACTCAAGCTTGCTGTGCTCTGTGGACTAGTCTATCTGGAGACATGCTGGGTATCAGCCCAGTTTATCCCACTGGCCTTCACCGCAGGAGGATCAGATCACTACATGTTAAAATAACCCAGAACATGGTTTTACATTTCTAGGAAACGTACTTTCACACCACCACTAGGACACATCTAACAATCAAAGCGTAACGACATAACATGTAAAGCCTGTCCCATTGAAAAAATACCAATCATTGATAAAAACTGAATAGTATTGGTTCATCTATCCATCATCATAAAGCCGCTTGTCCTGCCTTTTAATTTATTTAATTGTTTATTTCTTTTGGCCTGGTAACCACAACATTTACTTTAACTTTTGAGGTTTTGCTGTTACCATATGAGAACATTTTGCAGGTGCAGAGGTTTCTTGTGTTACTTTTTGCAGGAAAACACTGTCATGTAGAACACAGGAATCCTAAAACTACCGCACAGTCAAAATGCAATACTGTCTGGTTGTCTTGCTATCAACCTAGAATGCAAAGGTCATGTACTGTCAGACAGATGCAACTGTACTCATTAACCTACAGTCTACAGGAGAAGGATGAATATCAACATCTGATACATGTTGCAATTTTTTGCTTTACCCTTCTGGTTCACAAACAACCCATATCATAAGGTCCCTAGTAGCCATGTTTTTAAAATGTTCACCAAATTGCACACCTACAAATAGTTTTCAACAGAGTGAGTCATAAGTCATTCATGGTGGTCAGCATGTCTCGGAGGAAATGGAACAGTTGTAGTCCTACTGGAAAAACCTTAGTGAGATCAGTGAGGTGTTTTGGGATGCATGACCAATTGATGATTGATTAGGTGCAAACAGCCTGGACGCCTGTGAAACTTGATGAATTATTAATGAGTACTCATGACAAGTCTCGATTAAGTCAGCCACTGAAATGCACATGATTGATTTTTATTTCAATGTCACTTCTTGAATATTTTTTGATTGATATTAAAGAATGTTTGGGTATTTTCAAATGATTTTCGGCTAAATAAATTATTCATGAATGACATACATGATATTCCTTAACAAAATTAGTAAATGCCCCTTGGTCATTCATCAAATTTCATGAATAATTCCTGATGTGTTCTTGGGGGTTGGTAAATGGACTGACTACCTTTCTCTGGTTGTACCCAAGAGTGAGACTATAAACTACCTGCAAAGACACTCCTCCATTCATCCTTGATTTGAGTTAGACATATCATTGCCCAGCATATGGATGCATCGCAGGGCTCATTTCCCTGTTTTCTCATTCTCTATCCATTTTCAGTGACCACACAGTCCAGAAGGATTCATGGCAAGCCAGAGACTAACCCCGCAGGCAATGGGTGTAATGACAAGGATGAAGTAGTTCAAGTAGGCAGCTGCATCAGCAGGCGTAGGCTGCAAAGGAACAAGTAAAGATTTATTCCCTGCCGAAAAGAAAAGAAAAGAAACGAAACACAACGTTTCGGCTCTGGAGCCTTCTTCAGGGATCTCAACTAAAAGGTGGAGCTGGTATCACACCCAAAGAAGGCGCCACAGCCGAGACTTTGTGGTGCTTTCCTTCTCTTTTCAGAGAGGAATAAACCTTTACTTGTTCATAATCACAAGGATTACTGCCTGAGGCTACGCAGGCACATGAGACACACCAAAAAGCTGTTAACAAGAAGCCCTAATCCAGAGCAGACTGAAGCCCCCACCCCTTGCACACCAGGGGCAGAGTGGTCATTAACGACGGGGTGAAATGGAGGACTGAGGAAGGTGGAGAGACGAAACAACGAAGTAAGGCTGGATGGGGCTGGACAATTGAACGGAAAAGAAGAGAAAGAGGGGAGTGAGAGGGAGGGGGTTGAGAGAGTGGCGATTGGGGAAAAGGAGAGCGGAGGGACAGCAGCCGTCGGGAAAAATGGGAGAAAGGAGCAGACTGCATGGCAGGGCCTTAGAGCTGGTGGTTTTCCGGTGAGACTTTGAGGTGGAAGAGCTGCTTGTGGGAGAAAGGGGGAGAAAGCGAATCGTGACCATGAGGAGATGATGAGGCACAGGAGTAACAGACTTCTCTCTACCCGTTACACTGGTAACCCCTACTTTACTCCATGGGCGAGGCAGAACTGACAGTTAAAAATAGTAAATTAGACCAAAACATCGTGAGTACAACTAGCAAACTGAAGCATCTCAATATCAGTGTGCATGTATCGATACCTCTTCATTCCCGATGATAACCTGACCTTCCCGACTGTACTGAGATCCGCTGCCTTCGCCCGAGTTGCGATGTCGTTGCGACCCCGAGCCGAAGCCGCGCGCAGCCTTCACGGAGCTGCTTGGCAACGAACTGCCGTGTGTTTGCCGTCACCGACCACTGGCAATGCAGGCTACATGGGCACTTCTAAAAGCATTGAAGATGCATCGTAATTGTTTCCTTTGTTTAAGTTTTCTTTTGCTGGTAAATTTAAGACAAAATTTAATTTCACGGAAAGCCTAATGGTAACTGCCACCCCCATGCCACCCCGTCTCTCTCCTGCCTTAACTCCTTTACCTTCTAGTCGTTAATGTATATAAGTGCGTAACTTCTCAAACATTTTCATTAAATAATGCAATTAGCTGAAAAGTGTGTGTGCGATTGAGTGGGAATCAATTAGTTAATTTAAAAACAGGCAGGAGCCCCAGCGTCTCATCGGGCCACGCCTTCTTCCGGCTTCTGTAGGGCTCGCGGGAGCAGGAAGTCATGTGATCCTGTAGCGATCACATGACTTCCCCTGGAAAGAATACGTCACTCGTGGGGACAACTGCGGTAGGACTCCAACGTACTGATTAAATCGGTTATCGGGGAAAATATCATTGTTTTGTTTAAATGCTGTTGACAGAGAAAGTTTGCTTACATATTAAGCAAAAACGTTTAGCTGGATAAGGATATGATCCCTGAAATGTATAAAGCCATATATCAAATACAGGCTACTGCTGTGAATTACCAAAATGGAAATGGGTAAGAAAATCTAAATATAGACGCATACTAATCTAAACAAACGTGCTGCTTTGAAAAACCGTTTACTTTTCTGGCAAAGGTAAATATCCTGGCTAACCAGAGAGGCTTAAATATGTTTGCTTTCACTTCGCGTCTAACAGTTAACAGAAATCAAATTTCAATCATTAAGATTGTGCTGACACAAAATCCTCTTTATTAGGCTTTCTGCTGCTTGCATGTGGTTGATACTGAAAAATAAACAGAGGAACTTAGAAATTAAAACAGTGGCTTGAGTGAAAATATATCGTGTTCGTGTATTTTGGAGCTGTTTGTTTTGTGTGCCGGCCACATGTGGTTAGTATTCCGTGACAGCTCCCGATCTGACCTCAAAAGAGAGAGATGTTTGTGCATTTAATAAGGTTGTTGCGCCTTTTTTTCCCCCTGCAGTCGGGGGTGGCGTGTGAGGTCTTGGAAGATAGCGAATTTCTTGAAATCCGAGATGGGACGTTTTAAATATTCTTTCCCAAGGCACTTAACACACCTACTGGGCTTTTCAAAACACCGGCGTGTCGTCGAGCTTCAGTTATAATACTGCTCGGTTGCTTAGCATATTTTAAGCAAGATTATGCAACGTGCAAAGGGACTTAGTTGAAGGGCAGCCAGGGTGTCCTCTTGACTGCGGAGAATGAAAGCAGCAGCTGCAAGCGCAGAGCTACAGAGGCCGTCTAGCCAGCTTCAAAGGACGTGCACACTTCCGAAGCAGACGAGCAGAAAACAATCGGACCGCTGGAGACAGAATTAATACTGTTTATCCTTAGCAGGAGAGAGACGCTGCCTGCCTTCGGCTAAGGAAGCAGGAACCCCAGGCATCGTCCAGATAGAAGTGATCGCTGTTCATTGAAATTGATACTTTATCACCTGCTGAGAAAAGGAATGAATGCTGATCTCAATCGACTGTACGAAGAGATATATGATGGAGCTTCCAGGGCGATATTTTAAGATAGCAGTAAACCATTAGCTGTACTGTAATCTCATATTACACAAAAGGCATTGTTTTAGTGGTCTGAACGCTTGTTTCATCTTCTCCTACCACATCAGACTGTTCCCCTAATGCTTTAGGGCCGCGGCGGTTTTCTTTTCCAAGCTATAATTTCTCTCCTATACGTGTTGTCCCATTGTAATTAAAAAATGCCATTGGTTTGCAAGTGAAAGCAGCTAAATTAAACTTCACTCGCAAGCACAGACGTGTACGGTTTTGTTTCTTAAGGATGTAAAACGTTGCTTTGCAAATAAATTTGTTCAGTTGCTTTGTGACGGGTGGTGTGGACGTCTCACGCTACAGTAAAATGAAACAGTTTTAAAGTACCGTTGGTATTCCATGAAATGCAGTTTGGTACCCCCTTGCTAAACAAGACTAACATACATTAACATACTTTTAATGCAAGTTTTGTGCTAAGAAGAATTATGTGATTTATAGTTTCATTATAAATTAAATCAGACATGTGTATTTAACAGAAACTTAGTGATCCCCATGTGCAAAAGTAAGTCAACCTTTTTATTCAATAAGCAGCAGCCTATCCTTTAGCCACTATGGCAGCAACCAAATATTTCCTACAGTCACTGATCAGTCTCTCGCATCAGCTTAGAGGAATTTTTGCCTTTTCTTCCTTACAAAACCGCTTCAGCTGCTCCGAATGTGTTGGCTGTCTCGCATGAACAGCCCACTTCAGGTCTTGTCAAATCATTTCTTGTGGGTTTAGGAAAGCACCACATTTCTTCCTCTTAATCCAGTCTTTGTTAGATTTGCTGGAATTTCTAGGGTTGTTGTCATGTTAGAGGACCCATTTTCAGCTCAGCTGCAATTCGCAGACGGGGCCTGGTGCTACCCTACAGAATTCTTTGGTATGACTCTGAATTCATGGTTTCCTCAATGACAGGAAGCTGACCAGGTCCATGGGAAAAGCAGAAAAGCAGCCTCAAACGATGACACTCCCAACAGCATGCCTGACATTGGGGATGAGGTTTTTTATGGGGTACTGTAGGTTTTCGCCAAACGTGACATTGTGATGTCCAACAAGATCGGTTTTAGACTCATCTGTCCAGAGAACGTTCTTCCAGAAATCTACAGGATCGTCCAGATGGTCTTTTGCAAACTGAAGGTGAGGACCAATGTTTGTTTTCTGAGAGTAAAGGTGTCCTGCTGGATACCCTCTCCTGGGGTTTTTTTGAGCATCCAGGATGTGTTTCCTTGTTGCTCATTTTGAAGGACTAATTCTTTTTTACCTATTTCTTCATGTAATACACGCATCAGTAGATACTGTAGCTACCTAACTGTCCGCTGCTGGGGAAATTTGTCTTTGGCTTCTCCCATAGAAGTACAGTAAAACATAAAAGTCAGATAACATCCCAGCGACAGTATGTGACATGAATAAATGGATAAATAAATTGGCAGTGGATGGGAGTACTTTTACATACAATACATTCATCGAGCAGTTTTATTGCAGAGAGGACAAAGGAGTGTTGATGGGTGTGTGGAGTCTGTATTATGATATAAATCGCAGACCAGGGCTTTTCAACCCCAGCTTTCCACACCAAACTGTCATGTTTGCGTTGTTTGCTTTAAACAATAAATAGATTTTGTGGATATAAACCCTTTTGTTTAGAAAAGTAAGGGCTAGTTTTGATTAAATAAACATTTCAGCGTAAAAGCATAACATTTAAAGGGGTTCAAAAAACTTTCAAGCAGGGCTGTTTGTAATACATACAGTATATATACAGTATTTAAAATGCAAAAAACATATCAGCAACATTCAATGAGTTTTTACCCTTTGAGCAAATATTTGCTGTCTTAATAAAGTACAAAGATACTTAACAAAACAAACCGAATACAGAATACTGTATTTTCCAAATCAACGTTAATCAAGTCCTGTATGTGATGCTGGGGTGTCTTGTAACATTAACATTATACTTTTGGATCAAGTTCAGCATTGTGTCGCGGGGTCGTTGTTGTAACCTGCTTGAAAATTTGCTTAGGTTTAAGCCAGCTTGCTCACATTTAAGAGCCAAAAATATTTAATTCCCTAAAGCACCCCCACAGTAGATCCAGTTTTTAGCTTTTTACCTTCTGATGTGGTTTCAGAGAAAATTAGGAATCCTTAAGTAAATCTTCCATTTAGATCACAGCTCTCTGGGGCTTCCCAGTCACAATCAGTCACTTATTTAGCTTTGAGCCAGACCTGTCTAGCTCTGCAAACTGTTTTTGTTCTTTGTTCACAGCTAAATGTGGAGTCATATCTTACACTCAGGGCTTGGGCTTTTGGAGATTTGATTAATGCTCCTAGATAATGTGATGTATTAGGTGTTGCTTCTCTCATCGCTAAGCACTAATAATCAAGGTGTGCTTTCATCACTGGACACCTTCAGAGTAGTACCTAATAATCAGGCAGCTTCTCCAGGTTTACAACTGCCTGACGCTTTGATTTGTTTCTTTTGTCTTTAATCTCAGGTGTCCCCACAGCCAGGACTGGGAGATTTGAAGAAAATCTTCCAAGTAGGGATGAGAGGCTCGTGTTGGGGGAAAAAAAAAACCACAGACCAATTATTGACCTTGTCAGTAAATGTCTGGACTTGATTACACACTTCAGAAATGGAAATGACTCCTCCAAAAAACATGTTTAATGCAGAAATATGTTCCAGACAATAAATCAGGATCTGCTTAAAGCATGTCTGTGTTTGAAATATGGAACAATGCTGGTTAATGTATACTCTTTTATATTTAAATGAATTTAATGCATATTGTCTTTCATTACAGCAGACTAACTTCATGCTTTTGAAGTGACAGATGAATCGGAAGAAAAGTATTGCTGGCCTGCCTGACTTTTTTATTCTTTTTAAAGATGTGTTAGAAGCCAAAATATGCAGTGGTGGATTGGGAAACACAGTCTCTGCTAATGTTTCTTAAATGTCTTAAGGCCTTTGTCTCACTCAGCAATCAATAAAAATGACATCAAAGGAAGCAATTTTCATTAAAGAAAAAGTGTTTTATTTAGTAAAAGAAAACTGTAAAATTAAAAAAAATATATATTTTAGCCATTGAAACCAAAAGACAAAAAGACAAATATTTGATCAATTGTAATTTTGAATTTTATCCCATGTAGCTATTGTAACTCTTGGCCAGTTATGTCTTCAACATGTACTTTGTTAAAAAAGAAAGAAAAGGCGCTTTGAACTATGGCCACACGTACTGTAGTTTGGGTATGTACTGTACATTTAAAATATATGTAAGGTGAATAAAAGGATTTGCACTACTGACCAAGTGCACCAGAGGAGAAAAGGACACACTGACTGCAATATTTTGTCCCCTTCATTTCCTTACCATTTAGTCTGTGCTGCTCTGAGAGCTCTAAAACTGTAGATTCCAATGAATAAAATACCTATCTAGTTAGAGTAAACATGCTGCAACAACAGAGCAGGAACATCTGGGGCCCTTCAGCCTCTCCATGACAGGACAATGTGAACTTAAAAAAATCCAGCTTTTTTTTAAATCTACCAGATGTTCAAGTAGAATTTGCAGCCATGAGAAGTTTAACCAGCGCAATCACCATCAACCATGAGGAATATATGACAGCGCTGAGTGTCTGATATCCAGCCTGTATTTGGGTAATGATAGCTGATTAATGGCAACTACAGTTGCAGCCATTCAAAATGCACGGTACAAACCCGTACCGCACGCAACTACGCACGAGCCACTGCTGTCACGATCGCTAACCCCTCCTCTTAAGGGAGCTCCAGCTCTTCCTCATTCCCTCCCATTGTTTGCACCTGATCCCTATTCCCGTTCCCCCTTAAAAGCCAGGCGCTGACGCTCATCCGGGCTCTGCATCTGATTTCCATATCGTGCGAGTCCGGGACCTGGAAGCGCCTGGTCC